CAGAATAGCCGAACATACGAATGTAGCTAGCTATAGAGTGATAGACCCCAACAACATCAATATAATATAGAGGAACACTCAACTATTGCAATGCATGCATTGACACACAACCACACAATACGGTGGGATAAAACCACTCCACATAAGTCGAATATAGTTCGATGGAGAGAAAGGTTGATCACTGAATCTTTGTTCATCGAATCAACACCCCATATATGTAATGGAAGTGATGTAGCACCTGAATCAGAGATATGGAAAAGTTTACTAGTAATAGAAACGAATAATAAGAGGTGAAAGGACTTTAAGAAACATATGTCGGAAGTAGTGTGATTACATTGATATGATTATGACCAGTGATAATCTACGCTTGGAAGATCATCAAGTAAATAATAATGTATCACTGTATGTTATCAACCAAATGAACAAATCTAACATGGAATCAGTGGTAAAAATGACTGATGATAGGTAGAAATATGAATAATTCCCCCCCCTATTCGACGGTAAAGAATACTGTTTTACTCCTGTATTTTACACAACTTGTAGTTTTATGGTTACAGCTGCATATCAAGTCAGTGTGAATCGAAAGCCGTAGAAAATATTTAATTTTCACTAGTTTTCTTTTATATAGGTTAAAATGATAAAGGATCACTTGCATATTCCGAAAAGAACATAAGATTTCCTCACTGAGTCACTTCTTTAGTCTAAGAATTGTGGAGATATGACTGTAAAATGTAAACTTTTTATTAAAGGAGTATTTAGAAAATATTTGTACAGGTTCTAGAATAAATGTTTTAAATCTATGGTTATTCTAAAGACAATTATCAGATACATATAGTGACGTTCTACAATCTGTTCCGTTTTTGTGACGCGTAAAATTACGGTTTACTCTTTAGTATAGGCGAAAGAAAGCGACTAGGTAGTTTTCTGGGGGTATGCATATCTTGTCTGGCTGTTAGTGAATACGTAGAGTTTTCACATTTATAAGGTTTTTTGTATCACTTTTGTAGATAGTACCGATCATAATACACGGTCACCAGACAAGTTCTTGTTAGATATTATCAAACTAAGTACGTTACTTACTTCATAAGTTGACTGTCTGTTATTCTTCTCATAAGTCCATTATTTTGGTCAAAAATTAAAGTAGACAATGGAAACGAAATGGGTCATTTCCTGTGGCATTCCATTTCACGTTAGCGAACAATGACTAACCGTGATTATTCGGCTGCAAAGAAAAACACAAGTATTTCCAACGTTGTTACCCGTATTACCCAGTCGTTGGTTGGGCCGAATCGATCGGTCTCTACTGGCATGTACGCTCGTTAGCGGATGCCTCGATATTGCCTGTGTTTCGATTATATATATTTATGATGGATAGTGTTTAGCAGCGGAATCCAGGATGCACGTTTCGTTCTATTTAGGACTAGTCAACTGGATGTACCTGCACCCCAGTGGGTGATGTTGTTCCTGCAGGGATTCGAACTCGGGACCGATCGCTTTAAACGCCATAGCGTTACCTACTAGACCACTAGACGAGTCCCGAATAGGACGAAACACCCATCCTTAATCCCACTGCTACCCACTATCCATAATGAATATATAACTGAAAAACAGGCAATATCGAGGCATCCTCTCTGGAGCCCATGTGCCAATAGAGACCGATCAAATTCGGTCCAATCAACGACGGGATAATACAAGCAACAACATCAAAACTGTACCCTTGCATAAGAAGTAGCTATTGTGTCTTGGTGATATAGTGGATAATGCTCTGAAGTTTGAAGCAGTGGGTCTTGAGTTTGAGTCTCAGTGGGAAAAACATTACTCACTGGGATCCAGGTACATTCAGTCGACGAGTCCTAAATAGAACGAAACGCGCGTTCTGGATTCCACTGCTCTCCCCATCCATTGTAAAATAGTACTTCTTTCAGTTAAAACAGTCAAGACAATCTTATCAAATATTTAGATTTATGATGATATAAAATCCTACTGAAAATGAATTTAATTATCGTGTAAAACGTAATGTCTACTTGTGATATTGAATTTTCTACGAAGTTCAAAGTTTCTCAGATGATCGCACATTTTAAGCGATCAGTGTTGACTCATAATTTCTTGGCAGAAAGTAAATTGGAGTCCAAAAACTTGTCTAAGTTTGGTGAACCAGTAAAAATTTAAATGAAATCTTGAGAATAAAGCGTTTAATGTAAAGATTTTTATTATTATTTATTATTTGTCTCTTGGGTTCCTAATGCAACATAGGGCTTCAAGTAGCACATCTCCAATGCGCTCTCTTCTCTGAAATCTTTCCAACCTAGCTCCACGACAGCCCATAAGCTCTCATTTCCTCCTCACACGATATCCTCCATGTCACCCCCGCCTCAGACGCCCAACTCATCGTTTCCAATCTAGATTCCACTCGAGGCACTGGCTTGACGCGTGATATCCCCAGTCAGCCTTCTCAGTGTATGCACAATCCAATCCACCTCCACTTTCTTCTTCTGCATATTTGTTGAGTGATAGGTTCTTGGTTGGTTCGTTGACAGCCAGCCAGAATTCTTGTTGCTTATTCTTTCCGGCCATCTGAGATTCAGTGTCGAGCCAGTGTAGGGAGCTGTTGATGAATGTCTGTAGTTTGTTGGAAATGCTTTTCGTAACGCGCCAAGTCTGTGAGCCATACAGAAGCACTGACTTGATATTGATGTTGAAAATCCGGATGTTGTTCCAGATGCTGAGTGGAGTGCAGAAGATCTCCACACTGGTTTCAATCAAATCTAAAGATGCAGTTGTAAAATTCTTATTAGATTATATCCCTTTTGCATCTCACCTCTTATTTTCAATAATTTTCTAAAGATTACTGAACTGATATAGAAATAATACATATTTAATCTTTTCTTCAAAGTTGAAGTGCAATTTTTATTACAAGCTAAATATTCATCATTGATTGTAACAGTTATTCAGCAAACCTATTCCACAAATCAATCATTTCAAAAGAATATTTTTCGAATTGACAAATAGTCGAACTCGTACTTGTTTCATAGCGTTTACAAACCAGGATAACTCAGTTAAATTTTAGTTGTTTGGAGGCATTCGGCAGGAACAGTTGGACCTAAGTTTCGTGCTTTTTGGCACTCGTCAGCAAAGCATGTCTGCAACCTCGACGGAACTGATGTCCCGCCCGAGATTCGAAGCCGCGTCATCCAGTGTTGTACTCAGCAACTATAGCACTGAAACATTCGGGCCGCGACTGACCTCCTGTAGGGCTGGCTTACATGTATTGATTGGTCACGGAAGTGCAACCAATTTCATCTTGTCTACTCCTGAGTGTAGACTGAATCCTATCGATCATATTTGCAATGTGTCAACCAAGCTAAGAAGCTCAGTATCGCGGTGCACATTAGTAGATATTAGTTGGTTGGAAAAGGCAATCGGCAGAAAGCCCTTGACCTACAGGAGGTCAGTCGTGGCCCGAATAGCTCAGCGGTAAAGTCGCCGACTACAACACTGGGTGACGCGAGTTCGAATCTCAGGTGAGACGTCAGTTCTGTCGACGTTGCAGATACGCTTTGCTGACGAGTGCCAAAAAGCGTGAAACTTAGGTCCAAGGCTTCCTGCTTCATACTAATGTGCGCCGTGATGCTCTGTCTCGTAGCTTGATTGCCACGTTGCAAATATGATCGATAGGACTAGACAAGATGAAATTGGTTGCACTCCCGTGACCAGTCAATTCAGTTAAATTTTAAATGGATTTCTGTTGTAAGGCATATTCTCAATAAATATATATATATTTTCATCCTCTTAAACCATTCTTTTATAATATTCAGCTTTAATCAATTAGATTTCATAAAAACTGGATCAGTAATAAAAACTGACGATATGTAAGCAAAACAACTGATACGAAATCATGATATAACTAATCCAACTCCTATTTGTCCCTAACAGTACCTGTGTGTACAATAAAATGCATTAGATTAAGATGTTTTTATTTTATCATGGATTTCGTAGGAAATTTCTGCTTACTTAAGGATGTTTTGCATGATTATTTGAATGAAATTGAGAACTACGGTTTGGAAGGTAATTCGTAGGCCAGTAATCTCTTATTTGTCAGAGCCTTAAACATATACAACTATATGTGTAGTAATCTGCAAATAACTGCCAGATAACTAACAATGTGTAAGGTATCGTTTCCAAGAAGCATAACACTTTCCAAAATCATATATATGTCACCGTATAGTACAAAAACTGCCTCTAAATTTCAGGTTTTAGCGGTTTGTAGACTGAAGTTTAGTGCGACTGGACTGAAAACAGTTTTCTAAGTGATGACTTTTTTGACTAAGTTGGAAACTCCTTAACTCACACATACTTGCATGTAAGCGTTTAGTATCCTCGTAAATTTGAGCCTATGCCAACTGTCTAAAATGAAAGACAATTCATCGAAATAATTTATACGATAGAGTCTACATTTAATAGGCTAAGGATAAAGTGAAATGCGGTGGAAGTTGAATATCAGGTAATATTTAGTTTTCATTATCGATATTTTGCATAAGATGGGAGCACTGGATGATTGTCTCGTCTTAGTGTGGGATTTTTCGGTTGTTCGCACTAGTGATCTTTTAGCCTCGCAGCGAGTTTACTAATATCCAGTCACTAGATATTAGTCCATATTCTCTGATTTATGTCAATTCGTGAATAGTAGCCTGCTCACTATGTGAACATAAGATTCTAGGTTCGACCTTTTACAAGATCACCAATGTGCACTGCTGAGAAGTACCAGATTTTCAATGACTTGCTAACTGATGTCAGTCCGTGATGAATATTACTTTGAATTCAATCAGTCCACCGAAATCTCCAAGAAATCTTAATTTTTGAATTTTATTTTACATCTGCATTTTTAAATAAACATCTTTCATAAAAATTAACTCCTGTTTGTTTTTGTACTTTTATAGATACTGTTTGCAAAACCTTCGCATCAAATGACTTACAATTGGTGTCAATTCTTCTGTTACATGATGACTGGTCTTCTGTTGTTGAGTACTCATGTTAAAGGTATGGAGGATATTGAAGAAGATGAAGATGGTTTTAGTGCAGATAAACGCTTTTTGTTAGCTTACCAACACCTAAAAGACTTAGTTCACCGTTGAATTCATTTAGTCGTCATCGACGTCCAATGGGTGAATTTTGGGATGGAGTATCATCAAATAATTTTTATCCTGAAGGCAAAGGTATGTTTACAGAAGATAAACGATTCCTATTGGGTTTACCAACAAAATCTGAATTTAAACGTTTCTTACTTGGTTTACCTTCTACACACAGAAATTATAAAAGATTCATTTTAGGACTTCCAACACCTACTAGATTTAACTCATAATCACATCATTTTAATGAAGCCTTGTCACAGGCATTTATACACTCATAATTTAACATTACTGGAATTTTATTTTATCTAATATCCGAATATCATAAGTCTTATGATAAATAATATACTAATCACTACCATGGTTTTGTTCTTCAGTTGTAAATGTTATGAAATCATATGCTTCACAGTCGTATAGGGAATGTGTATGTTTATGCGAACGAAAAAAGAAATATCCAGTTTTATCATAGAAATAAAACGAAATAAATTTGAATATCCTAACTAAATACTAATATATTTTGAGATGAATGGGGATTTTTAATTTAGAAGTAGTATTCATCATGGACTGATATCAGTTAGGGAACCACTGAAGGTCTGGGAGCACTGGATAGCTGTTTCGTCCCACTATGGGACTCATCAGCAGTACGCACCCACCACCCAGCTACGGATCGAACTCAGGACCTTCAGGTTTCACAGCGAAGGTGTTAACCATTCAGCCACTGGGTCGGTTTCCAGTGGTTCACAATTTCCAACTTCTGTCAATTCACTACATAGTACGACTGTCACCCAAGGTCTTCAGTTAGCATCCACTTCACTTCCGAATGTAGTGCTCCTATAGTGCTCATTAGTGACTTGCTTCCAGATAGATGTCAGGAAGTTCTAATGAGAAGCCGTGACCTGTGGGGTCAACCAGTCGGAAGTGAAGTGGATGCTAACTGAAGACCTTGGGTGACAGTCGTGCTATGTAGTGAATTGACAGAAGTTGGAAATTGTGAACCACTGGAAACCGACCCAGTGGCTGGATGGTTAACACCTTCGCTGTGAAACCTGAAGGTCCTGAGTTCGATCCCTAGTTGGGTTGTGGGTGCGTACTGCTGATGAGTCCCATAGTAGGACGAAACAGCTATCCAGTGCTCCCAGATTTCCAATGGTTCCCTAACTGATATCAGTCCATGATGAATACTACGTCTAAATACTATGTTATGATATGAATAGAATTCATGAAAATACGATTCCTAAAGTAATAATTAACTGATCAAGACACTGAAATCTCACAAAAAACAGTATTTCCTCATCAGTGATTACTCGTCTTAATCACTGCTGGACCCAGAAAAGTTAACAAGGTGAGATTTGTAAATGAGCCTTTACGCAGGTCCATACATCAATAATTCAAGGAAACATATTCATCTATGAAAAAACTATAGAAACCTTCAAAAGAAAATTCCATTTACTTCCATTTTAGTTGATTTATTAGATGTATCATAAAACAGTGGAAAAGTATTATTCACTGAATTACGTTTCAGACACAATCTAAATCGTTCATAGACTCATCAAGATAACTACACAATTTTAAGATAACCTTGATATAGTGCTAATTTTCTCGCCTTGTTTGTGATATGGGTAGTAGGATTTTCCATGTAAGCGGAATAGGTGCTGAGTCATTTCTGTTGCATATATTAGGTGTTGATTCGATAAACAAAGGTCTGGTCATCAGTCTCTTCCTTTACACCGCTAAGTTTGTATTAGGGACTTTCACGCTCTCTGATCCTATTGTTTGGTTGTGTGCAATTGGATACATAGCTATAACCGAGCGTTTTTCTAAATTCTTTACTTTACTAGGATCTACAAATTTTGACCTCTCAAGGTTTTGGTATTAGGATACCCTAATCCACGTCGGTCGACTACTTTGACCTATGTCTTTGATCTGGTAATCATTGCAATAGATTTGGTAAATTAGGATTTGTTAACAAGGGTCATTTCTAAGTTAGTATGTAGGTGTAAATGTCATCCCAATCCCATATCTTCCTTGTATGCTAATACTTTAGAGGTTTTGAATTCTCTCTTCACAGTATTACCACTATTATTATTAACATTATTCTTACTACTACTAACACCTATGTTATCAGTATTCATCATATTTTTCTTACGATTATTAAGGGACTTATCAATTAATTTCGGAGGGTAACTGTTGATGAGTAAGGTGCCCTCAGTGTATCTGGTTTCCTGTCTTAGATCTTCTGTTTTATTAGTACTTTTTTTGACCCTGTTACTTGGACACTTTACTAAGCCAACTTTAAATGATATTGAGTGAAACTATTTTAAGTATAAGCAACGATTTGAGTGTGAAGGTTTTCTCCAGACACTAGTGTCTGAAGTCCCATCTTTCCATTTCATTCTACGATCCAATATTACTAATTCCCCTCCACCATTTCCTAATTCATAGGTGAATTGAATTGTGTTGACTACTGAATTCACATGTGTGAAGGAAAGATATATATGTTCAGATTTTAACACTGAAAACTGTGTCACCTACATATCAAAACCATACTTTTGAAGGGGGGTTAACTGTTTCGATAGCCATCAGTTCTCATTTGTCCATGAATATGTCGGCCACAATAGGAGATTTTGGTGATCCCATGGCAACTCCTTCTGCTTGTTTATATTTTATTCTTAGACCTAAAAATTGGGGAAGTTAGGCACAGCTGTACTCCTAACACGATCTCATCCATCAGTAGGGAGGGAGAGATCGATAACTGAATCTTCGTTTATCGAATCAACACCTAATATATGCAACAGAAATGACTCAGCACCTATTCCGCTTACATGGAAAATCCTACTACCCATATCACAAACAAGGCGAGAAAATTAGCACTATATCAAGGTTATCTTAAAATTGTGTAGTTATCTTGATGAGTCTATGAACGATTTAGATTGTGTCTGAAACGTAATTCAGTGAATAATACTTTTCCACTGTTTTATGATACATCTAATAAATTAACTAGAATGAAATTACATTGTCAAACTCCCCGCCTTCCTCGATATTTCTACTCTCTTAGATTACTACGCAACTACTTTGCATTCTTGATTCAGTTTTCTTGTAGCACTTGGTTAGTGATGTAATTATACCCTACTGTTTTATAATGGACTGTTATATGTTTATGATTTATATATAAATACGATTGTACAGCTTTAGAAAACGATATTGTCGAAAAAGAAAATTTTCTTCTCGCTGAATTATCTCTTCTCCATTCCAACACAGTCTACAACTTTTTTCTTATATTAATGAGATTCAGTTTAGTAAAACTGAATTTCTCTTCACATAAATAGTGCAAAATCTTGGTGGTTATATGTTGGAATTTAAGAAAAACGATATGTATATATATATATATATATATATATATATATATATATATATATATACGTAATAGAATTTAATTTAAATAAGAGTGGTCAAAGAGTGCATATTAGACATTCCGGATATCACTTTATCACTAACAAGATATATCACTTAAAACTTTATCATAACCTCATGACCTAAACTTTGTACATTATCCTTGTATCAATAATCATCTTAGGTAGTCTAATTACTAACCAAAAGATGGAAGATTTATTGAGTTTATAAGTTTCAATAGACCAGTTAAGCTGCACATTTTACTACACAAGACAATGAACCAAGCTAAAACCGTGACAGAGAGAAAAAGTCTTATTTACAGAAACTTCAGTTTTCAGGCGTTGAACTATGTGAGCGTCTACAATTGCAAACACTATCCGTTTATATTGTTACCTCTTGACAGGATGCGTATGCCATGATAATATCGGTGTCATATCTCTAGTTGTATCATCACAAAACTTCTTGAAGTCCTCGGTCTGTATGAGGAAATCACTTTCTATCCAGTTACCATCACTGTTTTTGACCAAGCTTTTATGGTTTTTCTTAGCATAATTTGCTTATTCAATAAATGTAATGTTATTGTCATCATTCAACTCATATCTCCGTAATCGCCTAATCTAGCAGTGATACTAAACTCTCAATTTAATTGATTTCAGAATAATATTCATCACGGACTGACATCAGTTGGCGAACGAATGGAAACCTGATTCATGAGTGCGCACTGCTGAGCATTTCCATACTAGAACGAATCAGCTGTCCAATCCTCCCAGGTTTCTCATGGTTCGTCAGCTGATTGTAGTCGGTGGTGAATATCAAACCACAAACCTTCAAACTGAATCTAAATTTAATTGTCAATCTTTCTACTAACCGTGACGTAATTCATCTCCAGTCGGTAGGATTTTCAGAATCATTTATGAAACCTTCTTTAGACATTTTACATTTCCAATTAACTTATGGAAACTTATTTCTTACAAAAAATATTCCGACTTATTCACTTAATTAATATATAGTACTTTTATGCTCATCTCAGCACAGCACGTGTAACTGCGTATTCTCAGTACTCAACACTTTGTTTATTTAATAAATAGCGCACAGTTTAGTTTACCTGATGATGTCCTAAGCATAAATTATCATTATAGTAAAGATGGATAGTGGCTAGCAGTGGAATCTAGCATGCGCATTTCGTCCTATTTGGGACTCGTCAGCTGGATGTACCTGCGTCCTATAACATCACTCACTGGGAGGGAGATGCATTAAGCTGACGAGTCCCAAATAGGACGAAATGCCCATCCTCGATTCCACTGCTAGACACTATCCATCATTCCTGTAACTAAAACACAGGTATACTGAGGCGTCCGCACAGGAACACGTATGCCAACAGAGACCGATGAATTCGGTCCACTCAAAGACCGTATAATACAAGCAATAACAATAAATTAACACTGGTCATAATCATATCAATGTAATCACACTACTTCCGACATATGTTTCTTAAAGTCCTTTCACCTCTTATTATTCGTTTCTATTACTAGTAAACTTTTCCATATCTCTGATTCAGGTGCTACATCACTTCCATTACATATATGGGGTGTTGATTCGATGAACAAAGATTCAGTGATCAACCTTTCTCTCCATCGAACTATATTCGACTTATGTGGAGTGGTTTTATCCCACCGTATTGTGTGGTTGTGTGTCAATGCATGCATTGCAATAGTTGAGTGTTCCTCCATATTATATTGATGTTGTTGGGGTCTATCACTCTATAGCTAGCTACATTCGTATGTTCGGCTATTCTGACTGAGCCTGATCGACTAGTGTGACCTATGTGGTTGACCTCACAGTC